GTGCCACGGCACAGGACCCTCCCGGAATTCAGGGGGGCGTCACTCAGGTGAGGGCCGAGCCGAAAGCACAAACTGCTACAGCCCAGACCAGACACCCAGGGGCCCCCAGCATCTCCAGGACTCACAGAGCCATGAACTTCTGGCGCCCCTCCTGGCTCAGGACTCCCGGAGAGGATGGGGGTGGAGAGCTGGCATTCCGCCCCCACGGGTTTCAAGCCTGGTCCCCGTAGCTGACTTTCTCCCGAAGCTTCTTACAAAGAAATGACACGCTGCCTGCCTAGTCCCGGAGGAAGACACCCAACAAGCTCCAGCCCCACCGCAGCCTACAGAGATTTGGCTGCCACACCTGAGCCGTGGTGGCAGGCGAGGTGGTGGGTAAACAGGGCATAGAGAGCCTTTTGTTGAAGCCCAAAAAGAGAGGCTGGGAAGCCTTCCCAGGCAGGAGGGAAGGGGATTGGCTGGCATCCCTCCTGTACCACAGTTAGAATGGCTGTCCCTCCAACACTCTCCCAGGAAAGGGGGCAGGGACATTCCAGCAAGGCCCCGGGAAGACACTGGGTCGCTGGCCTTGTCCCAGGGGACTCTGAGCCTGTGAATCTGTTCCTTGGTCAGCACCCCCAGGCTTCCTTTGGTCCCAGAGCTGGGAGGGAGAGGATATGACCAGATAGGCTGAGCCGCACGGTGCACACAGCCCTGCCCCAGTGCAGGGCACGGCCCTCCAGGCCCCCACACCCAGCTGGGATGAGTCAGCGGCTGGGGGCACTGCCCGGCCTGGCACTCTTCCCTCCGAGGGCACACCCTCACTTCCCAGGGAAAGGAAAAGGGGAGGCGGTCTGGGCCAGAGTGGGGAGGGGAATGCAGTTCAGTTCCAAACAGCTCTCACATTTGGGAGGGGCCTCCCGAACAGGCTTGTCTTCCTACAGACGTGTAAGGGCGGGGCCTGCCTTTGAGGTAAAGGGTGACAGGTAAGGGACGCCCGCCTTGGACTGGCCCCACCATGAGCCCAGCACACAGAAGCAGGAGGCCAGCCTGGAGGTGAGGGCTTCCCCTTACCCCTCCAGGCTGGTGTTAGAGCAGCCGGTTACTATCACTGCACCCGGCCCTTCCTGCGCCTCAGTCCCCAATCTCCAAGCAAAGCACTAAGATGGCTCCGGTGTGTGACCTCAGGAAAGTCACTTCGTCTCCCGGGGCTCTGGTTTCCTCATCTGTAAAATGGGCTGATGGGTCCATTCCTCGCGGGGTGGCGAGGAGGACTAAAGGAGGCAGGCCACAGAAACTCTTGGCCCAGTGCCTACCACACAGTGAGATTCCGCAACATTGGCTCCTGTTATTATTGTGGTAAGTTTCATCAGTCCCTTTAAGGGTCCGAAGTCTGAGGCCCACAGAAGTTAAGTGACCTGCCCAGGGCCACAGAGTGAGATGGTGGGAAAGCCCACGCCAGGTCTGACCTTCCGTTGTGCCAATCTGCCTCAAGGGCAAGTTGGTCTCCTGGCCTAGCCAGGCTCCCAGGCCCTGGAGATGCTTCCTGGGATAAGGGCCCCTTCTCCTGCAAATAAACGTCTCTGCCGGGAACCCTAGCAGGCCACGGGCAGACGCTGCTGGGTCTCTCAGGTACAGCTCTATGGAAACCTTAGAAGGAAGCCCAGCTCTAGATTTAGGCCCAGAAGCCAGGTGTTGGGTCTGGGCCTGGGGGCAGAGGCCTGAGAGATAGGTTCTGAGCCGCTATAAATGCCAGCACTGCCTTCCGGACAGATTCTAAAATGTGGGCAGGAACACCCAAGGTGGCTGAGATCTCTGGGGAATGGGACTGCGGGGGCCCAGCCACAGGTGAGATGCCAGCGGCCTGCTCTCTGGGCTAGAGGGGTGGCTGTCCCGGGGCACCAGCTGGGAGACGCGAGGACAGGATTCCCATGAGGCCCCGCCCCTGGTCACACCAACTCCGTCAGAGGGCCGGAGTCTGGCAGGGTTGCCTCTGAGAACGTCCAGGTGGCACGTGAGAGCTGTGGAATTTTACAGCCACTTTTACTCTGGTGCAACGTTACTCCAGGCACGAGGCACTGCAGGTGTCTACTCGGTGGTAAGGTTTTAAGCCCTCAAGAGATGCTTAAACGTAGAACTTGTTACAAATGCAGCAGAAACGCATCGGGGGAGACAGCAAGGGATGTCGTGACTGGGAATAAAAGCTGTTCTAGAAACCTGAACCCCATGTATCCTTGAGGAAAGGTTAAATGCGCCCGCCACACCCCCAACTACTGGGAGGTCACTAAAACCCCCGGTACCTAGGGGAACTCAGCTGGCTTCTACAGCAAGGGTGTCAGTTCTGGTGGCAGAGAGACTCCGTCACCAGAGGTGGGGACCAGAGCTGAAAGAGTCACCCCGGCCAGTGCTTCCTGGTGTGGCCTGCAGACCACCGGCTTCACAACGGCCCGGGGAGTCTTCAAAGTGCAGAGTCCTGGGCCCAGCCCCAGACGCCCACTACGCATCTGCAGTGGTGGGCTCAGGAAAAACCGCATTTCCAACAGGCCCCCAGGTGATTCTGAAGCACCCCCAAGCCCCAGCACCTAGAGAAAAAGAAAAGTGGAAGGTGGGGAGAAAGCACAGGCTGCCAAGGCAAAGAGAACCGGGTTTGAATCCTGACTTTTCCACTAGGACGAGTTTGGGCAAGAGCCCTCGTCCCTCCGAGTCTTGGCCTGCTGGCCTGTGAAACCACCTTGCACAGGTGGTCGTAGCAGGTAAGGTAGCCAATGCAGGTAATGACCTAGCACAGTGCCTAGCACTCAGCCCACGGCCCCTGAGGATGACCACTGGACCCGAAGGCCCTGCTGCTAGAAGGAGGGAGCCGGCAGGGAGGCCAACTCCGGGGGCTCTGCCAGGAGCGTGTCCAGAAGGACAGAGACTCTGGGGGAAGAACGAGGGGGAGAGACAGGGAGAGGGAGAGGGTCAGGCCAGGGAGCCCGAGAGCCCCGCCGGGTGAGGGACACTTCTCGGGCACAGACCTCACCCCCAGCGCCATCCTGCCAAACCACTCTCCCATTTCCACAAAATCAGGCTGCCAGGCAGGAGACCCTGAGACCCACCCTGAGGTCATCTGTGTCCCAACAAAGCATCTTTGGACCCAGGCCACAGGGTGGCCCCTCCACCTTCTCGCCTGCCTGCCCACCCTTGAGACTACAATCCAAAGGAAGCACTGCAAGGGAACGAGGACGGAGTTTTCTGCAAGGGACCACCAGGGTAAACCGAGTCAGGGCCAGACTCAGGCACATGTAACAACTCGCGGGTGTCGCCTCAACCTCCCAACTGTCCCCTGCCCCAGGCAGACAGGGAGGCCAAAACCTGGAGGCCAAACCCCCCGGGCCGGCCGCGCCATTCCCTCCACGCTGTCCCTGGCACGGAGGAGGAATTCTGATCCCAGATAAGTAGGACCTGCTGCTTCCTGCTCATCACAGGCCGGAGACTTCAGCTGAGGCCTCCCCTCTCTCTGCGGGACAGAGTTCCTCAGAGCCGACAGGAAACTCCTGCAGGGCAGGGCCCAGAGTTGCTACCCTTGTCCCAATAAACAGGAGAGTCAACGAAATCACACGCCAGGCACTTCCCACCCCCTCTGCTGCTGCAAAAGCCCCAACTCACTGCTCCAAACCCCTATGGTGAGGGAAGGGAGCACTGAGGGGGAGAACCAGAGTGCAGACATTCCGCCGGGAACGCACACTCAGACCCCCCCCTGCCTGGGAGGTCCAGGAGTGACCACCAATGAAGTGAGAGTGAGCTGAGGCCGGCAGCTGTACCGACTTGCTTTTGGACCAAGGAGCAAACAGTAACAATATGTGAGGAAGAATACACCCCACCCCACTCACATCCCTGGAGAAGGGGGTCACAGGGGACTTTCACTTTCTACGGGACGTTAAAACCAAAACATTATACAAACATAACAAACATGCAAGTGTGTTGGTAATTACAAAAAAATAGTAAGGTTACTATTTCTTTTAAAATCCAAGCTAGGAGGGGCCAGGCCTTCCTTAACAAAAAGCTGAGGTGGGAGGTGAAGGCAGGGAGGCCTAGGGCACAAAGCAAAGGACCTTGGCCCAGGATTCCAGGCTCAGGTCCCGGTCCCATGTCCCGGCCTTCCTTCCTTATGAGTTTGGGTAAACTGCTTCCTCCCCTCAGCCTCAGCCTCAGCCTCCACATCGGTAAACGGGAGGAAGGCCATGGCCTGAGCTTCCCCAAATGATCAAACGGGATCATTGATGAGGTATGTTCCCCAAATTACAGAGCTGCTATGATTAGGGCCGACTACGGGGACAGGACTCAGCCAGTGCCCCTCCCCGCACCAACACGGGGGATGAGGTGCTGATGTTACCCCCTTTGGGTGACAAGGAAACCGAGGCTCACAGAGGTGCAGTGACCGATCCACAGTCACTCACAGGGCACGAGAGAACAAAGTGCTGGTCCTCACCAGTGCACCTCCTGCCTCTGGGGACTGTTTCCCAAAGTGTAGGCTGACAAACCCCATCCCCGAAGAGGCCCGTCCACGTGGGCCAGGAAGTGCAGAGACTCGACTCGCTAGTCCCCTCAGAGGCGCATCATTCTCACTGCGAGGCACTCAAGGCCCCGAGAAGTCCTGCGGCAAGGAAAAGGAGCTGCCGCTTCCCACTGGGGACACGGGTGATCCAGGAAACACACCTGGGAAATGTGGCCACGAGACAGCATCGGCCACGACCCAGCCTGGCAGATCTGGGCTGAAGGAGGAAAAGCAGAGGGTGGCAATGGACGTAACATTGGCATTGGAAGAGCACGGCAACCAGATGCTACTCAGCTGGCCACCGAGTTGGGAGGAGCAGGAAGAATTCTGTCTTCTGCCACCTCTGCCCTAGATGCCCTGGGCCTACGGGCAGAAGAGCAAGGACTGCAGAGACGGCGGAGACACTGCCCTTTGCTCCCCAGCGGGGGAAGGCACCTGGGCAGAGGCCGTGGCTGGCCTGGAGGGAGCGGGACCCGGTCCTTACCCCGGGGACGGCTCTGCTATCTGCGTGCTGGCTGCCGGTGCTGAGGCTGGCCCGCTTCTGTCTGGGCAGGGTCCTGGCATTTCTTTCGTTCCATGAAGCTGCCTCCCTACGAGGAAGCAAGAGCTGCTGTCAGCAGGGATGTGAGTGACAATCAGAGCTACCTGCTGCGCTGCCAGCATTTTCTGAGTGCCTGCTTGGTGCCAGGCCCTCAGCTGGGTTCTGGGGTGACAACAGAGAATCAGGCAGTCTCCTGGGGAGATGCCAAGTCAACAGTTACAACTGGCTCTTGAGAGCCCAGGGCTCCGCTGCGGGGCACCCAGAAGCCATCGGACCAGGGAAGAAACACTAGACCCACACTGCTGGCCGGGGTCAGAGAAGACTCCCTAGAAAAGGTGTTACCTGAGTCGGCTGCTGAGGAAGAGTAGGAGTTGAAGAAAGAGCATTCCAGGCGGGGAGGGAAAAACACATGTTTGCGTGGAGGGGGGAAAAACGTGGCATCTAGAGAATGCTGCGTGATTCAACCTGGCTAGATCCAGGGCTGGAGGTGGGCTGTGCGTGGAGGGAGATGAGCTATTGTGGGGTGAGCCAGATCCAGGCAGAGACAGATCCTCAGCCCAGACACATAACTCTGACTCTAACACAAACCCCAACCATCATCTCTTAGTCAAGAAGCATTTGGTGAGCATCTACTACCTGCCAGCACCCTGCTCAGAAATACCCACAAGAGTGAGCAAGACAGGTTAGTCGAGTGGGGACAGAAGTGTACGCAGGCTCTAACAAGGGTATGGGGAGCATCTAAATCAGCCAGGAGCTGGGGGCACGGCCCAGCCACCAGGGAAGGTCAAAGGATGAAGAGGAGTTAGCAGGAAGGAGGGGGAGGAGGGGAGGTGTGGAGTACAGGCAGACAGAAGAACTTGAAAGACTCCAGGAGGGCTCATGGAGGCTTTCAACCATTTATACCACAAGCATCATCGCGCCTGCTCGGCGCTCGGCCCTGCCCTGAAAGGAAGGAAGCAGCAGACGCTCTCCAGCCTCACGGGGAGACAGCAACCCAGGAATTCCACACAGGGTGATGGCAACTGGGCAGAAAAGCACCTGGAGCTGTGAGGCCACAGGGGCCATCTAAGCCGTCCCCTACCCTGCCCCTGCCCTCCTCTGCGAGGACGGGGACACCCACTAGTCAGTTCCGTCACTTGCCTGTGGCAGATCCAGGACCAGAACTCTAGCCTCTGGACTCCTAGTTAGTGACTCTTCTCTCCTTCCTCTTCTAGGAAACACACAGTGACCAACCCCTACATATTCACCCGGAGCTGATGCCTCTCTTCTTGGGGCTGCCTCTATAATATTTCTACTATTAAGCTATACAATGTCTTCCTGTCTATCTCTCCTCCCAGACTGCAGCTCAGGAGGCCAGGAACTGTGTTCTCCCAGCACCATTCCTGAACCCGGCCAGGAACTTACTAAAGGAGGCCGAGTGAATAAATGAATGAGTCGGGGATGGAGAGAGTGTGCTGAGCTCTAGGGTTCCACATCCATCCCACCCAACCCCTCATGAGGTCTTAGACTACTTGCCTGTGCCTCAGTGTCCCCATGTAAAAACCTGGAATCATCTCCACTCTCAGGAGTCAGGAATCAGGCCGATTCCTTCCCTCCTACCGGCAAAGGCCAGGCCAGGCCAGGCCAGGCCAGAAGCAACCAATGTCCAGCCACAACCCTGACTTCTGACCTACTGGGGTAGCCCTCACGAGCCCCTCCATGCAGCAAGGCCACACCAAGTCTGCAAAGGAAACCGTTTCCTCCTGGGCGTGCCCAAGAAATGGAGTACAAAAGCAACTGGTTGAGTTCTGGCGGGGCCCCTGCTTATGTCCCATAGTCCCTGGAAGGCAGAGCAGCACTAGAACCAAATCCAGAGTCTTTGCAACTGGGAAGACAGGGCGGCAGAGGCCATGTTATCCATGCCCTAGCACTTCTCCAAAGCCAGTCCCCCAGTGTAAGGCATCTGCCCTTGCCCCTCCCTGGTGAGCCAGAGGAAGACTTGACCTTCACGAAGGCAACGCCAATGTGAATGAGCCATGGGCACTGCCCAGTCCCTCTGAACTAACTCCCAGTCCTCCATCTTCTTCACAGGAAGCATCACCAACAGCAGACCTCCCCGTTCTGCCTCCAGTCTGTCTGCTCCAGATACAGTTGGGCAGGGGTTACATGGACTCCTAGTGGAAAAGGTGGGAGAGGCCCTTGGGAGGCTTGCAGCTTCTCCGAATCCTTCTTCCACAATTTAGGCCCATATCCCCTTTCTCTCCCCAAGCTCTCTCTCCCTCCTCATCCTCACACCTCATCCTCCACAGGCCTCCTGGGGTAAGGCAGGGAAGAGGAAGGTCAGGAGAATGTGGTCACCAAGGGACAGCCCCACCCTTTCAGCCAGGTCCCCACCAGGGGGAGGCTGTGGACACCCCCCAAACATCTCTTCTACTTTCCAAAAAAGGCAGCAGTTGCATCAGCTGAGAACTAGCGGGATCATGGTTCACTCCCCTCCAGATCAAGGGGGAAGAAGGAGTCAACTAAAGGAGCAGAATCATCATGAACCACAAGGATCCGGGGCTGTGTTCCTTCAGCCTGGGAGCCAACTCTGCTGGATCTCCAGTTCACCCATAGGAGTACCAGCCCGAACCTAATCAGATCTGGCCCGAGGCCCCAGACCCAGCACCAGTCTTCCCGAGGACCCCAACCCTGATAGGCCCCAAGCGCCTAGCCAGGGACTCTGCCCCCAAGTCAGGGCACTTCTCCCGCCAGATCAAGGGGGGGGGGGGGCAGGAGAAAGGAAGGGTCAGGAGCCTAGAAGAAGGGAGCTGGGGGAACCTTTGAAAATGAAAAAGAGCTGGTAAGGAGAGAGCCCAAAGGTGGAAACTCTACGAAGGAGCAAGTGTGTGCAGAAGTGAGGATCTGGGGGAACCCAGGGGATGACAAGGGGACCTGGGGGAGCCGAGGCGGAAACTCCCAGTAGTAGAGCGCAGGGAGGCACGGGGTGCCAGGGAGGGGGCTCGCGCGCCGCGGCGCTGGGAAGAGGGTGAGGTCCCAGAGACCCGAGGAAAGGGGGAGACCGGGCACAGGCAGAACTGAATTGCCGCGGGAAGCCCCAGGGAGCCGGCCCTAGCGGGCTGGGCCAGAGCTGCCGGGGCGCGCGGAGCTGGACAGCTGGCCAGGGGCCACTCCTGCATGGAGTGGGTTTTGAGAGGTGACAGCTCGCGCCCCTTCCCCCACCGCACCCACTCACCTGGGCCCGCCGCGTCCGGCCGCCCAGCGGGCAGCCCCTGGGCCCCTGCCGCACAGTCCCGCCACCGGCCGCTGCGCCCCTCCGGCGCCTCCTTTTGTTTGTCCCTCACTGCACCACTCAACCTTCCCCGCCCCGGAAGTGACGTCACCCCGAGGCGCGGTGGCGGTAGCCTGGGCGTCGACATCTTTTTGAGGGAAGCTGTCTGGCCGCCCTCCACCCCTCCTCTCCCTGCCGACGCCATGCTGTTTGGGGGCGGAAGTAGCGGAGCCGGGGCTTGGCCCCTTTAAAGAGACAGGGCCGGCACTTAACCTTCCAGGAGTCCTTGGTGACAGGTTGAAGCGTCAGAGGCGGAGGTGAGTAGCTGGTGTTGCTGAGCTTTGCTGCCCCGAGGTTAAGTGCCGAGGACGGAGGGTCTGGTAACCGGTTCCGAGCTGGATTGTGCCAAAGTACTAGCGCCGTTTGGTGCTGCTGTGATAGCAGATGGGCTGCCGGAAAGGTTCCCCCAACCATGAGCCTCCCGCGGAAATAAATTGCGCGCGCTTTTCGCTGATCCCCACTCTGACACTGAATCCCGCCTGGCTGGCCCTGCCTGCGCCCACATTCCCCCATTCCCCCGAATCCCGCTATAGTACTCATAGGGAAGATGGAGTTCAAGGTAATTCGGTAAATTCTGGGCAGAGCCGGGGCTGGAACCAGATCCCCGATTCTATCTCCGCAGCTGTGTGGATCTCGAGTCCTCGCATTTACCGCATTTGATCACGGTAACAGCAACCACACCCAACAGTAATCTATACAGTGGCATAAAGTGCAGCCACTAAAAAGAGACATGTTCACTGTGCACTAATGTGAAAAGACGTGTGAGATACCTTAAATGAAAAGCTGGAGGGGCAAAGAGAACAGCTTTGATCTGCACTACAGTTTGTGTTAGAAGAAAGTGCGTGGGGCTGAGTTTGTCTGGGGATGTGTGCGCCGGTCAGCTGGTAAGATGCACAAGAAAGTGGTAACTGTGGTGGCCTCGGGCAGAAGAATTGGGGCCCTGGGTACCTGAACAAGGGGGAAGAATTTACTACCATGTGCGCCGCTTGTTTAAAAAAAATAAGTTGGCGAAGACCCAGAGATTCCACTTCTGGGAATATATCCAAAGAACACAGAAACACTAATTACAATGAATATATGCATCCTTATGTTCATTGCAGTGTTATTTACAGTTGCCAAGGTAAAAATGCAGCGCAAATGCCCATCAGTAGATGGGCGAATAAAAAAGCTCTGGTACATTTATACAATGGAATACTACTCAGTGGTTAAAAAAAAAAAAAAGAAGAAGAAGAAAGAAATCTTACCTGTAACAGCATGGATGGACCTGGAGAGCATTACGCTAAATGAAATAAGGCAGTCAGAGAAAGACAAGTACCATATGATTTCACTTATATGTGGAAGTTTTTTAATTTATTGATTTAGAGAGAGAGAGAGAAATATTGATTTGTTGTTCTACTCATTTAAGCACTCATTGGTTGATTCTTGTGTATGCCCTGACCACAGACTGAAATGGAAACCTTGGCGTATCCAGAGGATGCTTTGACCAACTGAGCTGCCTGGCCAAGGCCTATATGTATTGAACAAAATAAACTAACACACAGAATAAAAACAGACAGAAAAATATACAGAACAGACCGAAGCTGTCAGAGGGGAGGTGGGGTTGGGGAGCTGGGTGAGAAAGGTGAAGGGATTGAGAAAAAGAAAGTCAGACACAACAGTATAGTGATTACCATAGGGAAAGCGGGGAGAGTTGGAAGACAGTATTGGGAGGGTAAGTGGTGATGGAAGGAGATTTGACTTGGAGTGGTGAACACACAATACAACGTACAGGTGATGTGTTACAGAATCGTACACCTGAAACCTACATAATTGTGTTAACGCTAGTCACCCCAGTAAATTCAATACAAGCTTAAAAAATAAAGGTCTTACAATACAAAAAAAATAAATAGCTCTGGCTGGTGTAGCTCAGTGGATTGAGTGCGGGCATCCGAACCAAAGGATCGCAGTTCAATTCCCAGTCAGGGCACATGCCTGGGTTGCAGGCCAGTTCCCAGCAGGGGACACACAGGAGGCAACCACACATTGATATTTCTCTCCCTCCCTCCTTCTCTTCCCCTCTAAAGATAAATAAATAAAATCTTTTAAATAAGTAAATAAATGAGTAAAAATAGGATAGTGAAGATAACAATAGCCCTCATCGATCAGATGCTGAGTCAGTGCTTGGTTTCAGCTCTCCTGCTGGGAGGTCTTACTCTTTTTTCCTTGTTAGGAAACAGGCTGGAAAGGCTGGGGACCTGAGCAATATCTCACAGCTTGAAAATGGAGAGGCTGAAATTTGAACCCAGGAGGATTTAACACCAACACCCCCAACTCAAGCTTTGTTTATTTTTAACCATACAATAGCCAGCGTGGGGCCTGGCACGCAGCGGGGGCGTGTGAACTGAACAAGTGGAACAGGGCGGGCTGCAAACACTGGAGGGCAGATTCCAGACTGGAGTCCAAGGCTTGGTCCTTTCCAGCCTCGACACTGTGGACCTAGCAGGTCCCATCCCGAGCCTCCATGCCCCCACCTATAAAAATGACAACCACGGAGTGGTCCCACCTGCCCTGCTTCATGTTTGACATGCAGATTAGCCCCATTTTACAGATCAGTAAGTAAAGCACAGAGAAGTTAAGAAAGTTGCCTCCCAAGGGTTGCCACAAGGTCTACTTGGTCTTGTGAGGGGTGATAGGAACCCAGCAGTTAGCATCTGTGACCAGTGTTGCAGCAGGTCAGGCCTTGGGCACACCTGGCTCAACCCTGGGTGATCAGAGAGGGCTTCTCAAAGGAGGCCACTTGTAGTCTGTGACTGAACGATGCACAGACATCTAAAAGGAGAAATGATGAGGCCAGAGCAGGCACTTCCAACTGGCATTTTGCAAGAGGTGCGGTGGTGCAACGGGAATTTCTAAAACATGCGGTACCTTACTGTTTACTCAGGGGCAGTGACCTCTCTTTCCCTAGATTGTCACATTTTAAAAAACAGCCAGCACAATAGCCATTTTGGTGTAAATAAATGGAAATTATACCTATTTTTGTCGAATCAGCAAATAATTTTTTTTCCTCGTGCTGCAGAATTTTAGTAATTAGTTTATTTGTGCCATGAGATGAAAAAGGTTGGAAAATCGCCAGGCTAGAGGCTCAAGCAGAGACTTGCTCATACCTGCAGGTAAATCAGTGGCAAGATAGAGACTATGCAGGTTAGAGACAGTCCGATTCTGTGTGCATTGCTCCTTCCTCCTGGAGAATTGCTTCGCATGGCAACATCTGTGGTTTTCTACCCCGCACCCCACACCTAGCCTTCCATGTCTCGAGGAGTCAAATGCCCCGATTTTATAGTCCAGGTGGGGTGGACAAAGAAACACAGAAAAGCTGAGAGCAACGAGGAAGTCCTTCACGCTGGTCCCCAGAATGGCAGTCAAATTGCTGACACTCTGCCCATGTGAATGAAAGTGTCCACACAGGAGGCCACTGGCTGTCTGTCTTCACCTGGGTTCTTAGGTGGCCAGTGTGCTTGGACACTCGGCTGGGTGTGGCTCTTCTCTTCTGTAGCCAGCCGGCCGGAGTCACACCAGCTGCAGTGGGGCAGGGATCGCTGAGTCTACGGCCACACCACCCTGAACACACCTGATCTCATCTGGTCTCAGAAGCCAAGCAGGGTCGGGCCTGGTTAGTACTTAGATGGGAGGGATCATGATTCTATAACAGGACGTGGGGCACATCCCACTTCCTCATTCTGGGACAGCGGTTTGAGCATTGAACTCACCAGTGGGGCCCTTCTTGTGCTTTTCTAGGACTCTGGCTTTGCAAGTCATTTCCCTGCTTTGGGCCCAAGTTTCTCCATCTCTAAAGCAGGGGTGACTTGCTCTAATATTCCAGGCACTACATAGATATACACACATGTTGTCCCTTACGGGTAAAGCTGCCCCAAAGAGTGAGATTTCCGTTTTGGTCTGGGTTCCGTGCCAGGAGGCACAAGGAGTTGAGGTGCTTACTGTGTGTCTCACTCAGAGTCCCCACCCACAAACCCCTCTGCCTGGGACAAACCTGGGAACCTGCAGTCTGGGCTCCAGAAGTCACTTCCCCTCTGCCAGTTCCAAAGCTGGGGAGACCTGAGTGTAAGTCAGCACGTTTGTTGTGGCCCCCCGGGCAGGCTGCCTCCACCTCCCTCTGGACAGAACCATCGACTCAGCAAGTTTTCACCAAACACATGTCTTATAGGGACTCTGGTTTTAGACCCTCCCACCCCAGCCACCCACCCCACCCCCCCAAAAACAGATTCATTATCTGACAAGAGATTTTGTTGTCCTGCTTCATGTACTAATTTTTAGGGAAAGCCTATGGATTTAACTCTTCTCATCACATTGCTATTACCTACGTCCAGTGCTTCCTGTGGGTGATTGCCTTGTCATTGTCCCCTCTGGACAAATAAGAAGCTGAGCCAAGGTCCAATAGCTACTGTAGTTAAGGACCTATGGCTCCTTCACAGTGGAGCTAGGATCATTTTGTCCAAGTCCAAGTCAGAGTCCAGGCTTTGGAACCTGGGCGAACCATAGGAACCCCAAATGTCTTAGTGCAACGTTCTCGAGGCTCATCCCAGCGGTAGCGAGGACGGCGGTAGCACGCTCCGTGTTATGGCTGAGTAAGGTTGCACCGGGTGGCCGTGCTACACTTTACCCACCCATCTGCTGGAGGATGTTGGGTTGCTCTCGCCTTTTCACTGCTGTGGATAATGTAAGTGCTAAGTTTCCACGTGAACACACACCTTCATTTTTTCCCCAGTATATACCTAGGAGTGGAATTGCTAGGTCATAAGGTAAATTCTGTGTTTGGACTTCATAGAAAGTTGTGCATCAACTTCATAAAAACCGTTGTGCATCAAGGACATTATTGGGAAGGTTATCAAGGCTGTTGACTCACTTTTTTTTTAAATTTATTTATTTGGGGGGAGGGAGAAAGAGGGAGAATGACATTGACGTGACAGAGAAACATCAATTAGTTGCCTCTTGTATGTGCCCCGACTGGGGACCAAACCTGCAACCCAGGCTTGTGCCCTGAGTAGGAATCAAACCTGCGACCTTTTGCTTTGCAGGATGATGCCCGATGAACTGAGCCACACTGGTCAGGGATGTTGATTTCTTTTGAATTAATTTTTGTAAATGGATTGAGGTAGAGGTCTCACTTAATTCTTTTGCATGAGACTGTGCAGTTTCCTGGCACCATTTGTTAAAGAGATTATTTCTCCCCCATTGAATAATCTTGCCACCCTTGTCAAAAATCAGTTGGCCAGAGATGCCTGGGTTTGTTTCTGGGCTCTCAATTTTACTACATTGCTCTACACATCTGTCCTTATACCAGTGCCAGACTGTTTTGATGACAAGCTTTGCAGTACATTT